CACGGACAACGGGCACCTGTTGTGCTGTAACTATGGTTAATATCTTCAAACTCTCACCACATACATACCAATCAAAAGAGTGATGCCGTGGTTAAGGAACTCGTCATGACTTACTAGCTTGGCGGAAAAGATCCTTTAGATCCTGCCAGCCAACATTGTATGGAAGCTATAAAACCAATCAGCCATACCTCCCTCAAGAAGAATTCCATACCTTCTTAACCAATTATGGTATTCGGGGTATAGCATGATTGAAATGCAGAGTACGAATATAAAGTGGTATACAAACGTTAGCAACATAGATCTGGCGGCCACCACCACCAGGGCCACTGCCAGGGCCACCAAATCCGCCTCGGCCACCTCCGAAGTCGCCGCGTTGGGGCGGGCCGGTGAAACGAGGTTCTGCCTCTCGGTCCTAGGAAATGATTAATACCAGAATAAACGGTAAACATAATAGTTTTCACTTACTTCACGGACGTATACGAGTCTGCCCATAAGGTTCTGGTTACTGAGCGTTGCAACAGCCTGCTGAGCTTGCTCCCTCGTTGCGTATTCCACAATCCTGTCATTTAATTAGTATATGGAAGATGTCATAATCGAGAGTGAGAGCATAAGAAAAGTCAAAGATGTAACTTACCCGCAGCCCTACATAAACCAAATCACCAAGCCCCAACCCGTCAACCCAACATTTCATCAAAATGGCCAAAGAAAACCAGGAAACCAGCCGCAACTACACAATGACGCCCACCTTCGACATTCCATTCGGAAGTAATAAGACATCGGCGAAGAGAACTTCTCCAGCTATAGTAGAAAACAATGGAGGAGTCAATAGTTAGCTAAGCTCCTCCAAAACAAACTAGCAGGCAAAAAGATGAACCACCCCCATCAATTGCCATTCGTTGCACGAATTTTCTTGCATTGGCCCAGCTCACCCTGTCTCATGAAATCTTTCAAATGATGCCACTTGACATCGTACGATAGGTTGCCAACGTAGACTCGGCGGTCTTGTTGGGACGATTCGCGGACTGATTGCATCATTTGTTCCTTGGCAACGGCACGATCCTCGAGAGAACGAGCAGGTGGAGGACCACTACGGCCGCCGTATGCAGAACCTGAATAACCTCCAGATGCAGCAGCCACACCGCTCATGGGAGATCTCGATCGACGATCACTGCGACGATAATCTTCACGGCTGCGGGAACGGCTCCGGGGTGAGAACGATCGCCGATTCCGACGCGGGCTTCGGGAACGGCGACGTGGAGAGCGTGATCGCTCACGCTAGATTTGGTTAGTCGATTTCGATTGAACGGTGTCACATTTGCTGTTATCACCGTCTAAACCAGGGGGATATTTTTGAATGATAAAAGGCAAATGCGTTCAGAGGTGAAGAAGGAAAAGAAAATAAAGGAAAAGAAATAAACAAATTATCCATGCCTGCAATCAACAAGGTAAAAGCATGGACACACAAATTGGTTTTCATGTATAAAAAATATGCCCAGCTGGGAGACCAGCCCCATGAGCCCGTTGACAACGGAGGCCGGGTGAAAGGAAGTATGGGGCAAAAAAGGGGATAAGATATCCGGGCCGTGAAGAATAAGGAAGTTTGGGATAATAGAGCCACATAGAAAATAAAAAAAAAAATGACGTATACTCAGCTCCCAGAAAGGTTGCTAATCCCACTCATATATTTGAGCATCATAGCGCCTTCAAAGGTCTGGCCAAATATACAGTGGGAATATTGCCAGCCATAGTAGTCAAAGACAGCAACTGAGTAGAGGAGAGGGGTGAAAGAAAAATTCGCAGGTCGATGATCCTTGACTTACTTGAGAAGGTCGATAAACGTCAGCTGTACCTAGGCATGTATCAAATTAGGAATAAGTCGCAGGTATAGGGATATAGAGCAACGAGGGCTAATATATAATGAAAAGAACGAGAAATGAAAGAAGATATGCTTTTAAGAGGGAAATAGATGGCAGTGAAAGGAGGAGGGGAAAGGATGGAATGAACAGAGAAAGAAGAGGTGACGTTTTCTTTGCGGAGTGGGTAATGGGATAGCGTGGAAGCCTAGTTCATAGAACGGGAACTGAGTTGACTCAACTGCAGCAGCCGAAAGCCAAGGCCAGGGAAATGGAGTGTGGGAGCAGGTAAGCAGTGATAGGGCAGGGCAAAGTGAGAGGGATGGGAGGGTCTTCTCTGGAGGGGGTAGGGGAACACGGGAGTAGGCGGAAATTGGCTGACTGGGGAGAGAACAAGTATGGGAAAAAGGCAGCAGCTCCAATAAAGCACCGAGTAAGGTAGAAAACGAAGCAGTAATATCAATCTTTTACGGCATAGGCGAGTCTTCAGGCGGAGAGGAAGGGGAACGGAGAGGCCGAAAGGCAGAGAGAAAGGGGGAAGGGGGATTGGGGAAAAAAAGATATGTCGGAGACAGAATCAAACCGAGAAATCGAGGGACGAAGAGTAATGATAATAAAAAAGAAACGACCGGGAGACACGCACCCATGACTTGGAGGTTGCAGAACGGGATATATTTTATAATATGGATCAGCGATGAAACAGGACAGCCAACAGGCAGGCACTGCACTCTCAAAGATTCCAGCACACGTTCAGAGTCACTCGAGTGAAGGGCTTAATATCTGCTGTTCCTTCGATTCACTTCTCGCTGTCTCTCTCCCGATCTGGCACTGTATTCTTAGTTTATTTTAATTTTTTTTTTTCTCCCTCAGTTATCTTTCTGTCTTCGCCTTTTTGGTCTTTTCCTTTTTCTTTTTTTCCGTTCTGGGGCTCTGCGGGTTTGGACTTGGGCGTTGGTGTCGAGCCGTGGGGATAAGTGTGATGGGGGATGGATGGCGCGACCTCAGATGGGCTGCACAACGAAGAACAAGCTTCCGGCGTATGTAATTGGAGGAGCTAGAGAAATCACGGAGCAGGGATAAGTCGCCAGTTCGGACCTATGTCCCAGAGAGTTACTGCTCCTTGAGGCTGTCTATCCGTCTCTTGTGTGTATATGTGTAAGGCCAGGCGCGGAGAGGGGAGGAACGGCGGGTTCGCTGTGCTGCGCTGTGCTGCGTCGGCTGCCGCAGCTCTGGTCTGGGGAAGAGCTGCCTTGCGGGCTGGTCGTTCCGCATGCAAGGGGGGGAGGCTGAAGTGCGCGCGCCGCGAGAACGGTGGTATGTATCGTCGCCTGCTGCGTCCTTGCTTCTTCTTCTTCTTCTTCGCCGTCAGTCGTCGTCCTGCGCGTCGTTGAGGAAAGGAGAAGAAGTGAGAAAAGGACGAGGTCGAAAGCTCGTCGTCGGAAGTTGCTTTTTTTTGGCTTTTTTCTCTTACCCTTTCGGGATGGGGGCGTGACTTGGGCGGTCGACAAGCGCCAAAAGCGCGGTTTACTTTTTTTTTTTCTTTTTTCTTTTTTATTTATTTTTCGACCTATTTTTCTCTAATTACAAACAACGACGAGATGGACCGAAACAGCACAGAAAAAAGGTGAGGGAGAGACGTTACGGCCAGGACGGCGATATGACTGCTCGAAAGGCGGCCGGACGGGACGAGACGATGAGACGAAGATGTCCGAGGGATGGTGTGGTGATTGGCTGGACCCTGACAGACCAAGCCCACACAGTCAATGGTGTGCTGCATGCAGAAGTGCGTTCAGGATAGGATGTTGTTGCGCAGGTTCAACCCGCTTCCAATCACAGCGCTAGAGGCGGCGTCGAGGACTGAGGTGACTAGCTGCTGCTGCTGGCCGCCAGAGAACCCCCACAGCCCTGACATAACACCCTTCTTGCGGTCGTTGCGGCGTGGTCCAGGAGTTATATACATGCATATTCACACCGTGGAAGCATGATGTGGGGGAAAAAGAGAAGCAGACCGGCCAAGAAGAAGGTGGCAGCAGAATTAAGTACTGAGTCCGGACTCGATACGGCGTACAGGAGGAAAAAGTAGGTGTGCAACGCTATCCGTGGCGGCTTAAGGTACATCCTTGCTGGCCTTATAGTTTGATGCATGGCCAGGGATATACCTGATCGCCCATCAGCAGCCACCAACAAGCAATCGACAGGACCGCGGAGTCACGGAGTTATTATAGGGCGTCCATATGGGACACGATTGCTCGAAGATGGCCGGCCGGCGGAGCTCGTAATCTGGCCTTTATCCTGGCTTCTTCCTCCGGATTCACTATCTCTTTCCAGATGTTTCCCCCTTGGCTACCTCGCGGAACCCGTCGCACATGATGGCCAATCTTGCATATATTTAGTGAAACTGGAACCTCCTTTACGCTGCAATGTCCTTCTCCCCTTTCCCTTATTCTATATGAGCACGCACCTGTGCGGAGTAGGGCTTACTGTCAAGTGCCAGCCAGTTGCAAAAAGGAAACGGAAAACGAGAAAAAAAAAAAAAAAAAAAAAAAAAAAAGTGAAGAGAAAGGGGGAAAAAGAGCGGGACAGAAAGACATAGGGTTGACGAACCCGTTACGCCGGGCTGCACGGCTCAGATGGCACGCCTGTTCACCTGCCAATTGTCACACGCTCGTTCCGTAAAGAAGATCAGTCAATATTATCTAGATATTGCGTGGATAGCTCTCTTCCCACCCACCGTCTGAATACCGTCTGAACGAAATACGGAGTAGTGTGTGATACCCTGCTTGTGCCATCGTTGAGATGTCGAGAGATCATAGACCACCATTGAGGTTACATATGATATTTTGTCTTCGTACTAGTTTTTTCTCTCTTTTTCCTTTTTTTTCCTTCTCTCAACAGGCCCCACCACATCCTAGCAGACAGCCAGCCACACTCTGTCAAAAATACCTGCCTTATTTCATTCCAGAGCGTCCTCCATACCACAAACTCAATAACTAACTACAGGGGGACATTCTCAGGACTCTGGGCTTTAATTACCTTATACTTCTCCCTCAAAGCCCAGATCAACCTAAGTTACTAGTCTTATCTTCTCTCTGCCGACTAACTACACATCATAATATTCAGAACTTATGTCTCGCAGAGATATCAGGTTGATAATACTCCCTTTTGCTGTTGTCTTTTTTTTAAAAAAAAAACGATACCCAGCGAGCACTACATGATTACCTGGTACAAAAACGGTTCTGCTAACCCCTTTAGTACCCCTAGCCCTGTGACCTCCTACAATAGGATAGGAGGAGCCCCTTAAATAGGGCGTCCCAAACCCGAATAATGCGCCCTTTAAGTGCCTTTTCTTCGCTGACTCCGATGATGATGGGTTATTTTAGCTATATTTTCTACTGGATATCCTTTTATACAGGATTCTTGCTGTCTGGCATCCTCGTATCGATACGGCACTATTAAACAGGTCAGGCCCAGACGGACGAAATATACATACAGTAAGTTGGTAGGCCAGTCTGGTTTGAGATGCATTTCTACGCTTTGTTGGGGTTTTCTAGACCGGCTTGAGAGTTCTCCTTCCAGCCTGCAACTCTGTCTCTCTTTGAAAGTGGTTTTTATACGTTCAAATTTGCAGCCGGATGTTCAATACAGTTGAGCCATATTATTGCCGGTCCGCTTAACCTGAATATACAGGACGGGGACCAGTGAATGTCACCACCGGTCATGTTACGAGGGAGCCTCGGGGTAGGTCATCAGCAAGACACCACTTCGTGCAGTTGTACGGCTCGCCAATCTCTTGGTAGGAGGAAAATCGCGTTATGGGTAACATATGGTTGCCTTGGAATGACAGGCGGAACCCGGACAAGAATCCAATTGGAAGACCGGGCTATGATTCCTCTCACAGCCGAAGAGGACATGGTTGAACAAACACCAATCCTAGTCTGTTACAGCCCTCCATTCCCTCCTTCGCTTCATATCTCGTGCGCACACGCCGACAAGCCCTGGCCTCCGGGCATGCAGATCTCCACCCCTTGCCTTTTGGTTGGTGCATTGAATGCATGTATATCATGCTATCCTCATTCCTAACCCTCCACATACGTAGATATCAGTGTTCGCTGGATCTTCGTTGTCGATTCGCCAGCCCGCACGCATATATATTGCTCCAAAGAGCGTTCAACGTCCACCAATGGCAAAGCTGTGTAACCCGATGCTGGACGCCTCTGCAAGACTCGTGATATCGGAGGCCACTCTCCTGCACATTTAAGTCTGTTTCGCCGGTATCCATACCTGACTGTGGATATTTATTTCCGTCCAGGATCTGGATTGCTCTCTCCCTGGTTCAGGCCAGATACCAACAGTGTCATTCACCACGACATCTAGAACTCTTTCTACCCATCATTATCCCGTTCTTCCACGCACGTTTGTTTTGGGAAGGTTCGTCAACCTCAGCTTTCAAATTTTAAATAGCCTGAGGACCACCAGGGGGCTGCCACAGTCACGCCAGGAACGTGACATGTCGCGAAGCGAGAAATTGAGTACAAAGCTAGTATCATGTAGGAATTTGAATGCCTTACTTGACACGGTAATTTTAATCGGAGGTGATTTCGTGATTATTTGAGCTGAGGTAACCTTGGCGGTTAAATACAACCCCGGGCCTAATTGAGACAGAAGACGTAATTCTGTATCTCAGTCTTCTGCTCCTTTTTTTTATGTTCTGTGCCTACCTACCTCCTCTTTTGGTAGAAATTGCCCCAGCATATGCTTTATGAGGTGGATAGTATGCTTCCATGAAAACTTTCCAGGCAGCACTTTTTTGTCGATAAAAGCCAATAACTGGCGTTGCTTTTCGACTGGCATGAATCATAAGGTGGATTCAGACTGTCACGTCCTATATTTTACGACATGTGCACAACTTATTCCCGTCAAAGGAGAAAATTTCTTGCTCTTCCTTGAACGTTGTCTAGGCATCAACAACCGCCTGTTCAGCCTACTCCGTACCATTGACGATATTGATGCCGAAGCGATCCTCATTCAATGGTTTCCGACACCAATGAAATAAGAGACGCCACAAAAAATCAGGTAGTTCAATCGAAGGACCTGATACGTTTCCTTTTAGCTCCGTATCTATTCGAGAACACAAGAGACTTGCAAGCTGATTGATGTCAGTTTAACACTAAGCAGCCACTCGACTTCTAGACGAACTTAGCGCCAACCTTCGATCAGTTTCCCGTCGATCTGTGCGCTTCTGTGTTCTGATTCTGCAATTGGAATCCACTGATTTGCCCTTAAAATGCCACGAAAACTGGATAATCGACCTAGACTCGATCGTTTACAGGCAATGCTCTCTACATGCCAACTTCCAGAGCCAGACATCAGGCATCAAGCAATGCGCCCCCTGTGATACCTCATTCTTTCTGTTTCTCCATTTAGTTACAACCTCTAGCGTCCAGGTTCCGTCACAATATTGTGCTGGGATCAGCTTTACAAACGGCAACTGGAACCTATACAAACTACGTCGGATACTTGCTTTTGAGTAGTGGCATTTCCTCTATAAATTGCGTGCAGTCGTTCGATTAAACACTTGCGGGCTCTCAAACTTTAATATGTTCTGATTGACCCACACGGTTCACCGCTGGATAAAAGCTAACGGAGTATGACCTCCGCGAGTCCCAGGGCACTTGGGGACAATCGATACAGTATTCGGGTAAACCCGAGCAAAGTCCTTGGGAAATCCAGAATGGAGCTTTGGAATCATCACTGATTCCCAGAGGCGGAATAGCCGATCCCTCGTCGTGTGTTGCACGATAAACTCGCACGTTGGAAATGCGGTGATAAATATGGGACTATGGCACTGATCATTCCCAAACAATACTTCCGATTTACTCCCGTCTATGGACTAAATAACTAGGGGTGCGTGAACCACAATCACTTCGGATCCATTGGTCCTTGATAAGGACCAGAATACCAAAAACATGTACCTTATATGCTGTAAATATGGCACATATTTTAGGGGAAGTCTGCTAGACCCCCTCGGCTCACTGACTCTGACCTCTTGTCATTGGAATAAGACACGGAATATCTTATTTCAAGCATTGCCTTTCGAATCAATGACGGCGTGGGTCAAGATTCTACTTTTCCCTCCTTCAAATGGCTTTGTGGCTCAGCTATTTAAACTTTCTTCCCCGGACCAATCACGCCGTCCATTTGTGTAATATCGCGGCTAAAGGTATTCCTGAGCCGCACGGGCATCCATTGGTCGACACACGCGCGTCTCGGTATGCTCCTTTCCAAAATGGGATGTTTTAAGCAACTTTATGCCAACTACAAAGCTACCTCAACTTAAACGCCATACCTTAGCATATCTCATTGGTGTCAGCTAATTATTAAACCACTACTAGGAATTGAGAAGCCCCCAGCTCGCATATTGAGCCGGAGAGACACTAGCACCTCGAAGATCGGAGGGTTAGAAGAGCGCAAGCTTCCATACATTCTTATTAAAGTCGAACTAATCGAAGCCGACGTCATACCACCAAATATGAGAAAGGCTAAGAAAATATAATTTAAATATGTTGAACAAAGAATCAAGGGTGGTAAAAAGCGGATATATCAATGAGTACCTGGAGCCTGCTAGCAAGATTAAGCTTAGATAGGTCATTGTTTTTGAATATGAATGGTGAGTGCTCGGAGACTGTGTGATAAATTACTTTTCATCATATCTCGCAGATGAGATTTGAGGATATTCAAGATCATTTCCGATATAGCAGGCTGGATATTTTGTTAGTACCGGTATAGGGAAACCCACCGGCGCCGATATCGAGTCCAACATACCAGCCGTGGAGAATCAGGGCCGATATTTCTTGGCTATTGCATATAACGGCTCGGTGGTAGACTTTGAACTTGGCATGGAGGCCACAATCTTGAATCTGCGAGTTCATCAACAATATCCAATCATAGAAATCTAAGGTAATAATAATCAGGCATGCTCTGACAACTTTACTCCCTTTATACGAGATAAAGGAGCCAAGAAGAGGGCTAAGACGAGTAAACAGTTTGCACCTGTTTCCTCAGTCCACCTCTCCTTAGCTATACCTTATCTTATTTCATTGTTGTTATTGCGATCTCATGGCATTTTTAGTATTTGCAGCGTCGACCAAGTCTTGAACTTGTTCTGCCCAAGGAACTTTTTTTGTCGATTCGCCGACTGATAGGATGGTGTATAAATCATGGTGAGGTCGCACGTGCAATTCTTTCCCAGACTGGCTTCTTAGCAAGCATATGATTTATTTTGAAACATATTGTTCTCTCTTCTGTTTTTCTAGATATCAGAGGTACATTATAGAAAGTTGTCACGAGTTAAAGGTAGACAAGAGATTAAACGGGACTGTGGGTATCTAAGCTGACGATGTCAACTTCGCAGTTGCAGGCAGCAACGAGGCATCACATCGTGAAAATCATGCTTTGAGATAACGGGAGGCTCTCCGATCTGATAATTTAGATCTTATTCCTCAGGCTGTTCCAGGAATCTTTGACGTCTGTACAGACGTATCGACACATGCCAATATCTGTGCATGCATATGTACTTACGAAGTGCCGAAGTCTTGCCCTGGAAAGGCATCCGAGTGGACAATGGATGCCGGCAGGACGGTTCCACGCGTGATGGAATGTAGCCTAAAAAAAATAAATTGCAAGTTCGGCTTCGGGACGCGGAACGACGGCTGTAAACATCAAAGCTATGGCAAGTATATCTTTTGGCCCCTCCATCCCTCGATAGAGAAGTTATGCCGGAAGATGAAACAGACGACTCCCTTTAGCATTTCAATACGGTTTGTGATCTACCGACAGGAAAAGCTTGCCCTCAAGGCTCCACCCGGGCGAGGGGAGTAGTTAACGAACTATTCTGGCTGGATATAGTTGTATACGCACTCGGAATCCGGGGTTGAAGAGGGAAAAAGCCGCAGAGACGATCCTGGGTTCGTCTGTGCGTGTCCATCTCTCACCCGGCCGCTTGACGAAGCATGAATGAACTCCGTTCCTGCGGGCTGAATCGGCATGCCTGGGAGTCTCTGGAGGAAGGGAGTTTATAGATCCCAGGGAGCAAACTAGGTACACCCCAGACGGCTAGTCGCTGCTAACGACCACATCGATATTATTTCCCCAGACGATTGCCAGATCGCGAAGAGGGCCATCCCAGAACCGGGCCACTGCGCTAATTAGCTGTAATATCTTTAGGAACAACGTTGGCAGGTGAAATTGCGTCCGATGGCAGGCCAGTTCCACGACAATAACCAATTGGCAGCCAGGCGAGAGTCTCGGATGGCAGCTCCGGCCACTCAACGCGCAAGCGAGCTGGGGAACAGACCAGGCAAAGCGAGCTGTGGCTTGCGCCCAGGTTTCGAGCATGCCGGGCCATATCAAATCTCCTTCCCTCTTCGACCGCCCTGTCGCGCTGCGTCGTGTGCAGCTGTCTCTTATTCATGTTATTATTTATTGACGGGTTGGTTAGTTGTCGTTGATTCGTTTTTTGGCCGGCGGAGAAATCTCCACAAGCGACGGCGTCAAGGCAAAGCGACCTTCCTCTTCGGGCAGCCCACCGGTTCCCACTCGCCCGTTCGCCCTCGTCGTCTTTTGCTTTTTCTCCTCTTGCTCTTCGCAGGCCTCGAGGCCTCTTTTTTCCACCCTGTTGCAACGCAGGGCCAGACGTTGTGTTTTGCGCGCTGCAAGGATGGGGTACGAGTCGCACTGGACTGCTGCTACCTAGGTTGTCTTGTTCGTGATATAACTACAGCGCCTGTCCCGCCCGCCGCTCCTCCCGGGCATTCTCCTCCCTGGCCCGCCTTGCTGATGGGAGTGCTGCTTGGAGGCTGAATGAAGAGCATCGAGACCGGCAGAGAAGTCAGCACCACCGCCGCTACGGAGATACACGTCCGGGGAGAAGGGTAACTAGTCGAGACGCCGCTGCTCCCCATTTGCATTCGCCCACCATGGGCCTCTCAACCAAGACGATACACGTTCACCGTCACCAGCAGCACCTGAAATGGTCTCGAGATATCCCTCCTGTGCTCACGATCAACTCGGGTGAGACGGTCACCTTCGATGCGCTTGACGGAAGCAATGGCATGATAGCAAGAGATTCCGGTGACGATGCTATATTGAAGTTCGACGTCGAGAGGGCGGACCCCGGATTCGGACCTATCTACGTGAACGAGGCCGAGCCCGGAGATGTGCTCAAAATTGAGATCTTGGACCTGCAACTTGGCGATTGGGCGTGGACAGCTATAGTCCCGAATTTCGGGCTATTGGCTGATGAGTTTCCAGAGCCGAAGCTTAAGATATGGGATATTGACCCCAGCCTGCCCTATGTCAAGTTCAAAGAAGGGGTGCACGTCCGTAAGGCACCCTTCCTAGGCATCATGGCGGTTGCGCCAGGTGTCGAAGGCGAGTTTTCTACCATTCCGCCTCTCGAGACTGGCGGAAACATGGATTGCCGATACCTCACTGCAGGTTCTACGCTCTACCTGCCCATCCGTACCAAAGGTGCCCTGTTCAGTTGCGGTGACGGGCATACTGCCCAGGGAGATGGAGAGGTCTGCGGGACGGCCATTGAGACCACTCTTACCGCTTCACTACGTCTAACAGTCGTCAAGAACCAGCCGTGGGTTACCTCTCCGCAGTTCCAGACACCCCCGCTCAAGCAGATGCTATCTGCCGCAGATATTGAGGCAGACAAGGGTGAATATGCCACCATGGGAATAGACTGTGACCTCCTCGAGGCGACCCGGAAAGCAACCCGTAACATGATTGAATGGCTCACTTGCACCAAGGATTTAACGCGAGAGGAGGCCTATATGCTCACTAGCGTCGCAGGCTGTCTCAAGATGGCTGAGGTCGTCGACATGCCCAACTATGCTATTGTAATGACAATGCCGCTAAGCATATTTGTGGCCCCGGAATGGCCAAACGGAACGACAACCTGATTTTACAACTATGTATATACTTTTGGAGCGTTACTTTTCATGACTGAGTATTCACTTCGCTGGTTTTTTTTTCCTTGCACATCTAATGCCTGCCCTCTTACGGAGTATGTTCCTCCTCCTTGATCACCTCCGGCGCCTTAGATGCACATAACCTGCTCACATCCAATACACAACGCATACATAGACATAATAAATATACCCATACAGAGTAGGCATGGGGTTCGATGTGTGACCCCATGTCATATATATACATTTGCCCACATATTTCCGTCACCCTGGTCCCGTTCGCCTGGGATTCCTGCAGCTCGGATGCTAAAAGGAGTCAACCGACGCTCGGCCACTTTAGCAGCGTGCATTTGTCCGCTCTCTTCCCTTCCAGTACCCCATATATATATACCCTTTTAAAGGCATCCCTTAGCGGCATATATAGGTGTATTTTACCGGCCCAGTGGCATTTAAAAAAAAAAAAAAAAAAGGCTACTGCATGGAATGATAGATGGTTGCATAACAATATATAGACTTGTTTAAGGATCACGCCCATTTTAGCTGCCTAATTATCCTTGCTTAGGCCAAGCCAGGGTAAGAAGTAACTGGATAATCTGATCCTAGCGGCGCCTTGCAGGCAGACAACTGGCTGGTAGAGAATCTACTGTCAATACTAACCCATCAAGTATTTATTTATTTCCTTACTTATTTATTCACTCGGTCTGCATCTCGGCTTGAAACAACAATGCCCATCGGGCGTACTCCAGCGACCACAATACGAATGGATCACGGCTGGATAAACATTCGATACCGAACTACCAGGAGCTAAATCACCTGCCTAAATAAGAAGGTAGTTAACTCGCTGGCTAAAATGAAAAGAAGAAAAAAATATTCCCCATACACATGCATAAGGTGGTTTACATACATATATCCGGAGTTTTATCCCATAGCTTGTTTTTAGCACCAAGAAGAAGAAAAGAGAAAAAAAGCTCCTTCGCTTGCACCGGACGGAATGTGGATCTGTCCGTGTTCGCAGCTGATAGCCAGAAGCTTGATATGGTAGATGGCCGAAGGCTTGAAGAAGCAATATTCAATCGGACTTGCAAACCCGGAGGAATTGATCCGTCAACGTGGGAAATGGGGCAATCTTGGTAGGAAGAAAAAGTGACATGTCGAGCGAAATGATAACTATAAAAATAGACAAAAAATGGAGACGCGGAATTTCCGTCAACCATGCATACCGTTTGCTAATTCCGCCCTGATATAGCTTGATCTATCCGCATAGTTATAATAGACATAGTTATAGCTATAGGGGTATGAGAAAAAAAAAGGAGCCCAGTAACCAGGCTCGAATGACAGAAGTGAAGACATAAAACCCCTGGGATAAAAGTTCGTTCATGATGCAATACAGAAAGAGAAACGAAAATAAGAGCGTTCAAAAAGCGTATCAAGGGCAGTAACGACAAGGAAATTGAAAAGAAAAATACGATGGGAGCAAAAATAATGGTATGTGGGTAATATGGAAAAGAAATGAAACACTTTTGCCGCAATATAGATGAAGCAAATCCCTTTCTTTTACTGCGACTTGCGGATGTATGCCACAGGGCCTTCGTACACCTTTCGTCCGTGAAGAATGTACTGGGCAATAGCGAAGAGGATAACGGTTCCCCATACCAGGGAAGACCAATTCATGGTCTCGGGGGTAACCATCTTTGTGCTTGGGAAGAAAGTGAAGACGAAAGCGAAGGAGAGATAGAGGGCAGAGAAAAAGTTGATTCCCATTCCCCAGCTTCCAAGGGAGAATCGTCGTGCGGGCAATGGCTCGGCGCATCGTCGGCGGTACATGAAACAGACAATACTCAACACGTAGGAGGCATAGAGAGATCCAACTGTGATGGAGGCGATGGCGTTGAACGCGGCAGTGGAGCCAATGTTGATTAGAGATAGAAGAATAGTGATGAGAGTAGTAGCCAGGACAGCGTTGACTGGGATTTTGGATGTCGGGTTAACGTTCGAGAAGAACTCGGAGAAAGGAAGGGCGTTGTCTCGGGCGAAGGCGAAAGCCTGGCGAGAGCAAGTGGCGAGAATACTGATGGCACTGCAGACTTCAAGGATAAGGATGATGCATGCCAGGCCAGTAGTTGCGCTCTTAGAGCCTGTGGCATAGAGGTAAGCTGAGAGGAAGGAGAAGCCAGATGGAGGTGTGAGTATAGAGTCGTCCACTGGGCCCATGGTGAAGAGGAAGGTGATCAACATCACGAAACCAAGACTGCCGTTGATGATGGCAGTGAAAATCATGCACCATGGAACGACTTTGGAGGCATCCTTGATTTCCTCAGCTATATCGGGAGTCAGCATTTCATCCAGACATAGGAGTGGAAAGCAATGGCCAACTTACCAATATGGGTAGCACCGTCAGGGCCCAAGAAGGAGAAAATGGGGCTAATCTGGCCAACAAGCACGGCGACACCAACAGTAGACCAGCCGCCAAAATTGGTGAACTCGGTGAAGACTTCCTTTGAAGGAGACCTTTCACCCATAACCCAGAGAGTGATCATGGTAGCAAAGAATCCAAAGATATGGAGAATGAGAATCAGCCCTTCCAAGCTAGGGAGGTGACTGGCGGCGTAGGTGTTGACGAAGGTAGCAATAAATGCAATGGCAAAAGTAAGAAGGGTTCCATGCCATCTCTCAGGGGTGTATGAATCGCCATAGTTCAACTGGAGGAACCCCTGGATGAGAGTACCGCAGAGAAAACAAATACTGGCGAAGCCGCCCTGCCATCCCAACACAGAGAGCCAGCCTGAAGAATCCAACAGTTAGCACTGTATATATGGAAAAATAAGGCATGGTTACAACTATCTTACCGGTGATGTAACTCAGGAACTTCTGATACCTGGGACTTGCAAATTCAGAAACCCAATGATATTGGCCTCCAGATGTTGGAGAACTGTATTTTTTAGATCGTTAGCAAATTATTCAAACATACAAGATATATGAGGTAGAGACGTATTGACTTACATTGAAGCAATCTCAGCCATAGAGATGACCGAGCAGAAGAAACCGATGAAGGTGGCAATGTACATGTAAATCATGCCACCCTTTCCACCGTTCACCAGAGCGAGAGTCGAAGTGCTATTCATGAAAAGTAGATTTTTAGTTCATGTTCAATCATAATCACTGTTGGATATTTTCGCGCAAGACAGAGATATCAACGTACAGCAGAACCGATTCCCATGTTGCCATCAGCGTACAAGTGAAGCCGAGTGTAGACAAGAAGCGGAAATTTCTCTATCAACATTGGTCAGCAAAAGAATCCGGCATTTTTCATTCCCGCTACTTCGAAGACGAATCTTACGTTGAACTGCTGTGGTTTTCCCAGCCGCGACATGTCTTTCTGGTCGTTGGAGGTATCGTCGGCGGAGTTAAAGCTGACGTCCAAGTCGCCTTTGCCGGTCTCGATAACATCGGGTTGGAACATCATGGTCGTCTGGCCGTCTCTTTGGCAATGGACTTCTTCGTATCTTCCGTGTCCTTTTGTTTTTATTCTCGACGTCACCGTCCTAATACTATCGTCGCAACAATGTGGTAGCAAAATCACAAGACCGGGGAATACGGATTAACGGGCGAAAGGATGGGCCTGTAGAGACGGAACGTGAGAATACAGGATCAATTAACAGCCGCTGCTATTATCTCGTCTCGTCTCTTCACTTTTGATAACAGCAAAGTCTCCAGCAGTGGCGACGAGCAGAAGATCTGATTGATATTTAAACCGACCGTCGTCTTCTCTGACGCCAAAACCCACGATTTTTGTATGAACGAACTAGCCTGTTTAGAGAAGGTCGCGCTCATCCAAAAAGCACATACATACAAGGAGTCCCGCCGGTGGGAGAAACGTGAGCGACAACGAGTGGGAGCTCCCGCTGCGCTGCCGGGGGGTCAAGGAAGGAGAAAAAGGGCCCCGGGAGGGGGCGGTCTCGGTGGAGAGCCAGTTACTTCTTCCCCCCTGACGAGCCAGTCAGCCAGTCTGGTGTCGACGCAGCGAGTATATGCCAGATGCACGTCTGACACCTGCCGCTTGCAGTCTAGCACCGAGATGGCTGCGTCTATTGCCTTTTCGACTAGGCTTCACCCTCAGGCATGGCCTGGAGGCACAGATATCAGTCGCGCCGGCGCGGTCATGGCTCCTGCGAGCCGCATGGCTAACCTAACTACGCTGCCGGAAGAGAGTGGGCAGCTCGATCGCCTGGCACTCTGAGATGTTGTGGGCTTCCCACTGGCTAGTTTGAGAACTAAGCCTGTAAATCCGGAGACAGACTTGCTACGGCTCTTTCGGCTGCCATCTTCCCTTACGGACGAAATCACCCTTGCAGCAGGGCCGGATAAAAGACGGCAGAGGGAAAGACAATGTAATCTTGATATGCAGAGGCAGAGTGCGCCAGCATCTATCCAGGCCCTGCAACTTTTCATGCGTCCACGGAGCATATATATGTACAACAGTGCCTTTGACGAGAAGGGATCCCAAACCATGGATAGATTTTGACATGGCATTTCCACGCTGTTGGGAATTATCTCAGACCCTTCTGGACGCCCTTCGACTGCAGCAGCCACAAGACCAGATGTCTTGGTTAGCTAACTATGGTTTTCCTTTTTTCCATTTTTTGTTCTTTTTCCTGTCCTTTTTTTCCTTCTCGTTCCTGCGTGTCTGTCAAAGCCAAAAAAATGTGTGCCTTCGATGGAACGGTTTGGAAGCCTCGGTGGAGACACAAGATGGACAGACAGCAAAGTTTGAAAGCCATTACTTAATACAGGACGCCACGTCCACTCGCGCCAAATACTTCGCAATGCGAAAATCCATGTCCAGATGCATGAGCATGGGATAACTTATAGACAGCATATCCTTGGAGGTGACCAAAGGCATCCCTGTGGCGGGCTCCGCCGGGCGGGGACTGAACGCACAAATGACAAACATCCTTAAGAGGAGTTTACGCTGGCTGCCTCTCTAATTCCCCCCTGCACATTCTCATTTAGGTGTCCTCGAGTCCAGGGGGGTAGGGGTAACGGGGGACATCAGACCATCTCATCTCATCTGTGCGAGGGGTTGCATCAGGTTTGTTTGAGCGGCAAGGTATTTGTCTCGAGATGTTCAAGACGCAACGTTACATTCCTTCTCCCACTGTCCTATAGATGGAGATTCCACTGTAGTTTGTTAAAAGAAGAGATGACAGGAAGATCAGTAGCTTATCGCAAACGAATGAGAGGGAGAAGTCTGGTAAGGATGGCTTCTCGGGTCCTCTTCTGAGCAAGTTAAGTTACCAGCTACCAGTAACCAACAGCCGACCCGCTGATGCGATGGCTCGCTCCTGGGGTTCATCCAAGAGCAAGTAGCATCTTGGCCAGGGGAGACAGTCGCCCCTTTTCCCCTCCCGTAAAGATATCGTACAGCCGACAAGGTCGCAGGATAGGGCTCGTACTTCTCCGTATATGCAAACATGCGATATCGCAACGAAAGCCATGTGCGCGATGTGGAGGAAGACTGGGTCGGAGAAGCAAGACATGTAGGTAACTAGTTGGCGGGATCCAATATAACTATGCAAGTATCTCCTCTATATCGACCGGATTATTTCGTTAAAACATTAAGTCGTTGATTCATATAATTTAACGGAGTATAGCTGTTCACTCTTTCCTCTCGCAAATAGCTGTCGGTAGATGGGTTCTCGTTCCCACTAGCTGAAGAGCCTTATAACCATCAAGCTTATGATTAACTGGCAGCTAAGAAGTCCGCCTCGCTGGCCCAACAACGCAACGAAGCAGCTCTCCACAGAGTGGATAAGAGCGACGGACTGGATCTGAACAAGAGGAATGCGACGAGCGTGCTTTTTCCTGCTGTTGTTTTTTTGTCTAATAATCAACGATTATATATGCAAGTGTTCAAATTCCCTGCTGTGGTCGAGATGGCAATTCTGGAGCAGCGAGATGCTGATTTAGCGAGCCGTTCATCCTTGCCTTTTGATTGCATGTCCTGTTTTCTCACCCCTGTCGACTATCAGGCTCTGACCTTTCGATTTCTAGCGACGGACATCCCCTCCCACACTCCAAGCCCTTGACTGGCCGCCACTGCTTGGTTATCCTCAACTCCTTCGGTGTATCTTTCTTTTGTCTCGCCATCCGCTGGCCAGCCACGCTCTTGGAATATTGCAGGGGTCAATAATGGGGCTACTGACGGGCCAGGAACATCCCTCCCCTGCCACGGAGACGTATAATTGTGCGTAATTTAAGCAATTCAGGGTCAAGGTCGATGTTCTCCGTCCTCTTTTCCCATGCGAGAACCACGTTTGGAAGTGGGATAGACGCGTTCAGGAGATCAATGCTGCTCTCCCTTATCAATTGCCGATATATCGTTGTCGTACTGAGTTACTCCGGATATATCAGAGCTTGGGGACAAAAGCACTACCCCGCCCATGAACATCAAACATGACTGCGACGGATCTTGATACAAAGGGCAGACGAGCTGCAGTGTCAGCCAACGCCCAACCAAAAGATTTGGAGCAAAGGAAAAAAGTTAGACGGAGCTAGCTCTTCGTTCCTACCGTTCTCCGAGTTAACCATATTAGTTACTCTGTATTTATAGTTTTATCCTATGGGACTTATTGGTCCCGTTCTGAAGGCCTTGTTGTTAGCTCGTCCACCAGCACCAGCCCATAATTCAATTAACTAACCAGGCTTCAGATGCACTGTATGGAGTAACTCGTGGAAATCGCCTTCTTTGTTTTCGAGGTGCCGTCCAGAAGCTAACTAGCTAGCGCAAGCTGTCTTTGCTAGCTTCCACGCCAGCAGCCGCATCGGAGACTTCCAACTGGTGTGAGTGGCTCGCGTAGTCGATATTTCTTTTTCTTTATCACATCTGAGAGATTGTTTAGAACGTCGTCCCCTGGTTAGCTTTCCCTTGAGAGGAACCAAAGCTTCCATTGCTGCCCGGGCTAGCGAGAGGCAAACATGCCAACTTTCTAGTTCCTGAATGCCTTCTCTTTGGCTGGTAAATCTAAATAACTGACATCTAGATCGGCTCCACTAGTTAGTTCGCTCATATTATTAGGTCCTTTCACCAACAAGGGGGATTTCTTGTTATGAAAACTCCAAGGTACGCATTTCACGTTGGATTTTCAGTTTCTCTTGGGACTCGTTGGAACATGATTCGTTCGTGTTAGCACTTCACAGGGAATATGATGGCGATTCAATCTGAATGAATCAGCTAAATTCCTCCCGATGTCGGCTGGTAGATGGTGATATGCAGGGAAGATGCATGCAAGGTGCATCCGCAAGCACTGGTTGCGCCTACACCATTCGTCTTTGCCTCGCAGCCTGATTCGAAAAGGGTATATGCCACCGACCCGGGCGAGTATCTGTACCCCGAGTAGAAATTCGAGGAAACGGGGCCTCCGCTTCCCCTTGCTTCTCTTTTTTGACAAGAACTAATACTCAACATCTCCGGTCCAAAAGGTAATAAAAATTAAGAGAAAGGAGACCTCGAACGGGACCTCTTACATGCTAGCTTCTTGGACATTAGACGTATCCCTCGTATCAGGATGTCTGGCACTAAGGTCTTAGTCTCCCACTACACAGGTTAGCCTTTCTCCATAACTCGACGGATTTCGGATACTCCTCGGCGAGAAGCGGTTAAGGGCGATCAAACAGAAAGGTCATTCTCCCCATACTTCAGCCCTGGGCCTCTTTGAAGACGTTGAACCGGAACGATGTTGCTGCTTCTTACGGAGTGCACTATACATATATAGAGAAATCCGGAGGTCCTCCAAGGGTCCTCGGTATGTGTATAGATCGGTCGCGTTACGACTGATACTGGTCTCTTAAACGTATGCCAAGGGGAAGGATCTATAATTATAGACATCCCAGTCAAATCGACGTTTGCGCCGCCGACACGCAAACCCGTCGATGCGACTTTGGATCCGCCGTTTCGTCCCCTCAGCTCCGTTTTTCTTTCTTGTTGCTCGATCAGTTGGGCTGCTCCAAGTCTGGCTTAGGGAAATGCAGTGGCAGAGTTCCCTGCTCCCTGCCGCTCCAACCAGCGCTTGCGCCCCTCCACTCACACCACTCGTGTTGTTGCCCTTCTCGTTGACACCTTGATAATGTTGCCCCCGCTGTTCAAAAAGTCAATAGGACTGCCCTTTTTTTTCACCAGCAGCGTCATTGCAGAACTTCCTCAGACTTTGTTTCTTGTAAATTATTCTTATCCACAAGTGATCGGCTTCGGGGGCCGGTGAGAAGCACAGAGAGAGGGAAATGATATGTATAGACGTGCAGCCGGTTTAGTCCATCTTCCGATACTACCTGGCAATTAATCGAAAATCGATCTGAACATCCAATATCGAGTATTTTACCTATGCAGACAGAAGGCTGGTGACCAAGACTTGAACTCTTTTGAAAATCAACAATTTGACAGAGGCGCTGTTCGCCTCGAACCTGCGCTCTGATGGCTCCGTACCACGTCACAGATGAAGAAAATGGACCATTGGTCGTTGTATCATCTGCAATCATGATGACTTATATGATACTTTGTTATCTTGTTAGGGTCTTCATGAGATTCACGATCAATGGTCCGTTTGGGAAAGATGATTGGTCTTTGACAATTGGATCTGTAGGTGTTTTGCAGACCGATCTTGTCATTCGCATGTGGCTAACCAGGGCACAACCATAGCTCATAGCGGTGGTACAGACCGGTCTAAAAATATCAGAGGCATATGCCGGCCTTGGGCGACGAAGGCATCTAGTACCTTTAGAGGAAATTGAACGAATTGAAAAAGTACGCCAGTCCCGGGAAGAAAGGTTCTGTTGCAAATTTATCAGGCTAATAATTATAGTTGGCGTACGCTGGCGATATCTTTTACCTTGTTGCACTCGCATTTTCGCGTGTTAGCACCTTTCTACTCATTGCTCGACTGACCCGACAAAAAAACCACCTCCGGGCAGCAAGCCTGGGTGCTATTGGGTCGATGGTCGTCAACATAACGTCGGTATTCCTTATTTGCATGCGCTGTGACCTTTCGAGGCCGTGGGACCTCATCTCGCCAGGCTGCTCTCAAATGGTACGAACTCCTTGGGTTTTATGCTTTGCCACCTGTGCCTGGATTTTAATCCGAGTTTCTCCCTAGTATTCGCGGTGGTATACCGTCGAGACCTTGGGCATCCTTGTTGAGCTCTATGCAGCATGGGTTCCCATATACCTCCTCTGGAGTCTTCAAATGCAGATCAAGTCAAAGCTCGTTGTTTTGTTTGCATTCTCTTTCCGCCTTCCGTGAGTACCACGAACGAACTCCCTTTCATTCATTGTCGGGCGGCTGCTAACCATCCAGTTAGAGTTCTTGTGGCAGCAGGCGCACGTTTATACTATCTTCGTCAACAGCAAATGCACGAGGACTTCCTTTTTTATGGAGCTGCTGCATCTGTGTGTCTCGAAGTTGAGCTTCACTATGGGTTGATGGCAGCCACGATACCATGCTTGAAACCATTCGTGAAATTGTTCAACACCGGGTGGTTTGACACGAGGGCTACGCATAGCACCAGTGGGGGAGAGCAGTATGCTCTATCGAACATTCAACCCGCTGAGATCACGGTAACCACGGAGGACCAGCCCGCGAGAAGAAAGTGGAATGATCGGCGGCATGTGCGGTCGCAGGGTTCCAGTGCCCCTTCTTCCGCTGGTTCCGATATAATGATTATTCGCCAGACCACTGCCTGGGATGTTACTTATGACACTAATGACCAGACCATATAATTTCTGGCCTTTTTCCTGTTTGCTTCTTCTCATTTCATTAATAGGTTAACTGGTTTTCCCTGGGTAATGATATTCAAGGGCGCAACGGTGGTCATGGGACCCGTTTTTATGTCCGTGTACCGTCTTCTTTCTTTTTCCATTGCCCTTTTTATTTGGTTTTGTTTTGGCCCTGGCATTTCCCAGCTCCTCCCGCTCAACGATGCGCAAGGCTCCTGATTCCGGTTCGAATAGAAGCCAGCGGCTAGTGTCGTATAAGCACTGAATGGGTATCAATTCTCAAACACATTTTATCTTCTTGGGGATTGCTAAGGCGTGGATTTTGCGAAAAATGTTATGATTTGAGTACTTGGAGCTCGCTCTGGAGGTGGCTGACCCCGAGTGTCGATATCTTGTAATATAGCTATATTTGAATACATATACCCTTTGATTTCCATTAGCTATGTCCATGCAGTACTGACCTCGCATTTCCGCCGTAGACGTGATACTTGTGGACAATTGATGTTCAACTGATGTTCAACTTGAGTTGCAGTCACAAATTCCCCTTTTGAGCGCATCACGTGACACGACCGACTTTCACATAACTAGTTACCCGATTTTCATTTTGACTGGAGGGTTTGCGCATTCAATCCGCCGTCAAGCATCACTTGTAGATGCCAAAGCTTGAATAGCGTGACCCTTAACTCTCAATTCACTTGGACCAGCCTACATCTGCCTGACTGGCTGAGGTGAAATATTTACGGAACGGTGATACAACGACAGACTAGAAGAAGGCGGTTTAAAAAGATGGTCGCTGTGCCATTAATTCGGCGTCAATTGCCTCAGGCAGCGGCATTGACTTCTTCAGCTAAACGTTTATCTCTGTCAGGCATCAGTCGATCGTGTATGGCTCTGCCCAGCTCTCGTGTGCGGCCCAACTCAACCAGCTCCATCCAGTATTATGCTCAAAAACCATATCCATACCCCCGAAACGGTCCATTACGTCGTCAAAGGTCTTCGCGAGTGACATGTGAGAGCAGGTCATACCATCATTCTGCCTCCGACCTTTCTTCCTCGAACGCTCATTTCTCCCCGGAACAAGCCTCAATACTCTCTCTTGCTCTTGGAGATCATGTCCCTAGGCTTGGATTCACAACTGAAGCTGTTGTTCTTGCAGCGCAGGATGTCGGTTACCCAGAGGTGTCCTTACAGCTGTTTCCCCGTGGAGGGGAAATTGAGCTTATCATATATTGGCTATCAACAAGACGAGCTCTCTTGAAAGAGAAAGTTCAAAGTGGAGGGATATTCGATGCAGAGGGGCAGAAACTAAGTGTCGATCAAAAGGTGAAGAGACTTGTCATGGAAAGGTTGAAGATGAACAGTGGTATAATCCAGCATTGGCAAGATGTAAGCTCCTGCTTTCTGTTACTACATTGCCTAGTCCTTTTTAACTGATCTGTCGTACTCAGGCTCTAGCATTAATGTCGTTACCCACAAACATTTCCTCGTCACTGCATGAGTTGTATGAGCTTTCTTCTGATATCCTCTATCTGGCTGGAGATCGCGCTGTAGATTCGTCGTGGTACTCAAAGCGGCTTTCTGTGTCAACGGTATATGCCACCGCTGAAATTACGATGACGGAAGATAAATCCGAAGGGTTTACTTCTACAGCGGAGTTTGTTGAAAGACGTTTTGGAGATACCGATGCTATCACTGGAGCTGTCAATGATGTGAAGACCTATGTAGGTTTTCTAGGCGGTAGTTTGGTTGCGGCTGGAAGGAGCATTGGTATGAAAATATAAATGGGAGGTAACATGCCTCCAAGGTGTGGTTAATCTAGTACCTCAAAAAACAAAGTAGGGTGTAGGATACCTTGTGATGTATATGTATCATTTATTCAACACTGCAGCGTTTTAAAGTGGAGATTATTAGTTTAATGGTGATTTGGGTATTTCAATCATGGGCGTTTGATGCTCCATAACTCCTGTGCCTTCTCCTCAAGCTCTTTAAACTCTCGGATTTGTGCATCCATACCCTTTGCCCAGCTCGTAAGTTCCCGGTACGCCTTTCGGATAGCAGGTGAATCCCACCAGCTGACACCAGCATTGCTGCCCGTTCTTCTGTTTCTGCTCTTGATGCTGCTATTCTTGTTTCGTCCGTCGGACTGTCGTGCTTTCAATATTGCTCGTGCCCCACGTTGCCTAATTCTTTCTACTAACTCAAGTGTTCTTTTATCAAAGTCGATGCCATTTTCCTCCATTTCTTTAAGCAAAGACACGATAGATGGTAAGTCATTGTGAACACGCCAGCGGAAATCTATTAATTCATGGAATAGTTCCTTTGATGACCCGATAACGAACGAAGCTCGTCCGTGGGATCGGATGCTTTCAAATAATCGAATGGTGAGTGGAGACATTGGAAACTTATTTTGAAGAATTCTCAAAGCATGAAGAAGAGTAGCAGGGTATACATGTCGTACAACAGTTACAATAGGTATGTCTGGATGGACACAAATTGGTTGGCACGGGGTATTGTTATATTTGTTGGGCAGATTGCATAGGTTTCCAGAAGCGTTATCACCGCTTTCGGAAACGCTTGCTGTTGAACCGGAAGACAGTATCTCATCTAAACCGGCTTGTTTCAGCATTGGAAAGATCATGTTCTCGCATACTTTCCAGATCCCGAGGTCGCCTTTACCGTCCATCACAGCGTCGTCAATCTCCTTGCAAATTCTCTTCGTTTCAGTTTGCGCTACAGCGAATGCGGCAACAGAAAGATCAATGCCAGCGAATTTCGCTTCGTCTGGTGACGACGGATCGACTTTTGTGAGTTGAAAGTTGTGCAGTTTATCGTTCACATTTGCTTTCTCCAAGCCAGAATTAGAGAGAGTATTTAACGGCTGCTGGAGTTTCTTGCGGCTGCTCCGGCTGTTAAGCTCACTCATCGTCTTTAAAACAGAGCTAAAAATATTTTTTATTTCCCGGTTATCTTGGGCTGAAGAACTATCGTTTGCAGATGTGTTCCCATTCTGAGGTACGGAAAAGCGGCCAGTTACTCTCGAATTTCGGGGAGCCGGCGTAGAAATCGGGGCCTGAGATTTCGCATGCCGACGTCCTGGATACGATCGTAACTCATGTCGGCTAGAATTCGAAAACGGGCATCTTTGCTGGTTGCCTGCTGGCAGGCGAGGTTGGTTCGGTTGCGCCCGATGAACTGGGGCTGTTAGAGTCGCGGTAAGGTAGAGAAACGGAAGATGTGTTGGTTCTCGGCACAACGAGACGAGGCCGTGGGGCTTTGGCATCGTTCACGCTTCCATCTGCCCTGTAAACAGGTTGCGTTGCTTACCCCGTCCTGTTATTTCAACCAATTTTTTTGTCCTATCAGTCGATAAATATTGTCACCACATGCGGTTGGAATTGAATCCAGAAGCTACAAAAGGAAACTTTTTTCGCTTTCGATCGACGTTCTGGAATCCACGTGATCACGCGACTCTAAATTGTTTAATAGAACTTTTCGCGTTTAGTTCAACAAAAAGAACGACAACCTTCATGTGTTATTTGCATTTGTACGCTGTTCGCCTTTTTGGATACGATATACCACACTGACGGAGTGCTGCAGCCTCCAAGAATAATAATGGCTCCTGTAAAATCTGAGCCGGTTACGGAAATGTCCGACTTCGAAAAGCAGCGCTTAGCCAACATTGCAGAGCGCGATGCGCTTCTCAAGAAGATCAGTCTAGAAGCACAATCCGCTGGTCTTCTATCAAAGACGCCGGCGCCAAAGGTCGGACAATCACATAAGAAAAAAGCAGCCCCAAAGATTGCCAAACGTGAGAAAGATGCAGCGCCCGTTCCCCGCCGATCCTCTGCTCGTCTCGCGGGTATAACACCAGATAGCGAGATTGCGAAGCGGAAGGCCGAAGAAGCCTATGAGGCAGAGAAATTACAAATGGAAGCCAAGAGAAGACGAGTGGCTGGTGATTTGCGGATGGATGAAATCGGAGTTAAAGGGAAATGGGAGGCTCTCACTCTGGATTCACTTGCTACCAGTGGACCAGCAAAGTATGAGAGAACCTTTGGTGACGAGGACATTAAGAAAACTACCAACAAAGACCTGAAGATCATGAGGGAAAAGATGAGTGGGCTTAGTCTTTGGGATGCCTGGGAGCCAAACAGTATGTCATCTCCCAGTTGCTTTTCTCAGATAGATTTTGTATCAGCGCTAACACTTATCTTCAAGGGATCAGAATCACTTCGGAACGAATTTTCACGATGCTATTTCATCCAACTGAGTCTAAACCCTTAATATTTGCAGGGGATAAGGTTGGGAATTTGGGTATTCTCGATGCTTCACAGGATATTCCAGGGGATGACGAGGAAGAAGATCCAGTAATCACAATGATTAAACCTCATAGTCGGCCAATAGCCGCTATGCACATACATTCTTCCACCCCGTCCAAGCTTTACACCGCCAGCTATGATAGCTCAATCCGGCAACTGGATTTGGAAAAGTCCGTGACCACCGAGGCTTATGTCGCTGATGATTCCGGCCTGTCTGGCGTTGATATGTCACCTGAGGATTCTCATACTCTTTACTTCTCAACATTAAATGGGGTTGTTGGCCGTTATGATACCCGAAAAAATGCGACTAAACGTGATGGTTCCACTAACGATGATGAAAGTTACAGTGCGGACGAATGGCAGCTAGCTGACAACAAAATTGGTGGCTTTTCTGTCTGTCCCACCAAGCCCCAGTACATCGCAACAGCCTCTTTAGACCGAACTATGAAAGTTTGGGATCTTAGATTTTTGTCTAAAAAAACTCCTAGGGCTGTCGCGGAACACATAAGTGCACTCTCGGTTTCTCATGCGGCGTTCAACAGTGTAGGCCAGATAGCAACCTCATCCTATGACAATACTCTCAAGCTCTACAATTTTGGAGCCTTCGACATAAAATCTCGAAAATCCACTGAAACTTTAACAATCGAACCTGATGCCATGATTGATCATAATTGTCAGACTGGGAAATGGGTCACGATGTAAGTTTTGCTACCTTTTAACTCTCCCCTTGCCCTATATTGTTGTAAGTCTAACACCAGCCTAGCCTCCGACCACAATGGCAAGCTGCGCCCCAGTCATCCGTTCAACGTTTTTGTATAGCCAATATGAACCGTTTTGTCGATATTTATACTGCCAAGGGTGAACAGTTGGCTCAACTCGGAGGTGAGGGCATTACAGCTGTTCCGGCTGTTTCCGTCTTCCATCCCACTAAAGATTGGGTGGTAGGAGGTACGAGGAGTGGGAAAGTGTGCCTATGGATGTGATATAGTAAATTGCCTACATTTACAGACATTTAGACACGCAATCTTAGGACTATTTATGACACCTGCAATTGAAATTTCTGCACCGGGAAAAAAGCAGCTTATTAGTTGTAGTGGTAATCATAGTAATTAATCATATTTGGCACCATTGAGGTGTCTTATGATGATGTGGGCGCACGAGAAGACCTTTTACAATGTAGTCAAAATTTGTTGTCTATCAAAATGCACATACATGCTTCTATGCTAGATCACGCGCTGACAAACATTTCTAAATACATGACATCAGCGTCATAGGTGTATTCAAATACCTTTAATGACAAAACTCTTTCCACTTCTGACTGCCGTAAAAGTCCGTTGACCAGAGTAGAGGACTATTAGCAGAATTCGAGGCTCAGTGCTTCCATAGTAGAGGTGTCATCCCCATAAATTTACTCGATATGTAAGAGTAACGTCAGTGGCTCAAAAATGAGGAAATAAACTCAGGGTGACAACTTTTGCCGTTTCGTAGATTCAATGTCTGATTTGCGTGACGATACCACAACTGCAATGTCACTACATCGCTTAGTAGGTAGTGGAGCTGCTGAGCTTTTGGGAGTTGAGGGGGGTTGGCCTTTCGGTTCTTCTGACATGGTTGTAGTATTCGCGGCTAAAATTTGAGCTGACCGTCCGTATTGATTGCGGATGCATGCCTCTCTGACTACAAGACCAAGCGCAAGGGCAACCTGTCTTGCTACGCTATTTCCAACGATTTTCCACTGTTGAACAGGACTGCCAATAAGAACTTCGTTGTCTGGATACCCCTGGGCACGCCTCACTTCTTGAACTGTCACCAAGCGATCTTCCTGCCAATGGAGCCAACTGCCCGTGAATATACAGAAGGGACAGACACCAGTTGTAACTGTTGGAAATAGCTTCTCAGGATGGATTCGGGACCAGGCTTTAGAGGTAGCAGCTTTCATCCGTGCAGAGTGTTCCAGAGGGTCAACCCAACCCCTTGCTATGGCTCCAATCAACCCTTGCGCCCTAGGATACTTGGGGATATTCTGGATTAACGTCTGTTTCTCCTCGGATTCGACTCGGGAAGGGCGGTGATCCGGCCAGGGTATGGACATTATTCGTGCAGTATCAATAGAAGGCAGGTCTTGAGTGGCCGAGTGTGCAGATACAAACTCGAAAACAGGAGTGTCCCAGCGCCTTTCACCAAAAGTCGAGCCATTAGGGTTATCACCAAGAGCACGAGATTTAGTTCCCGGGGGATGTGAATGGGTTAAAGCAGGATGCTCTAGGACATGAAGGCCTGGAGCTGTGATCGCGATGAAAAGTCTAGACCTACTTTGGGGCGCACCGAAGCTCCATGCATCTAAATTGAAAACACGAGCCTGATATCCCATACCGACAAAGGTACATAAAAGCTGAGAAAGAGGGTTTTGTACATGTGTCCGGCTAGCCATGCCAGTCACATTTTCGAGTATCGCGTACTGAGGCCGGTAGAGGTCGATATAGCTTGCCACAGATGCGATCATAGATGAATTCCGCATTGACACCTCATTATCTTTGTAGGCATTGGCACTAGAGTAACCCTGGCAGGGGCTGCCTGCAGAAATGAAATGAGCATCTCCTATTTTGGCAACGTATATATTCTCCTTTCCCGTAATAGCCTGGAGCAGATAATCGTTGACAGAGCCGCAAAATAGCTTTAGCCCCTTACCGTCAGGGTGATTAGCCCTATAAGTAAGCATCTGTTGAACGCCCCATTCCACTGCCCACTTGCTTTCGACCGCTCCTCCTTCTTCAAGTCCTCGATCAAATGTCCCTCCGCCACTAAAGAGATTGAGGGCCTTTAACTTATGCAGAGAAGAGGTTGAGGGGTCGAATCCTTCCTTAAAATTTGGAGGGGAATTCATAACGGTCAAATTCTCGCCATCCTTTTTATAAATGATGTAGAATGCATCACCAGTCCCGTCTCTATTATAAGGACATGGGATATTTGGTACATGAACTGGTTTGAAGACGCGAATATGGCAATGCCTTTCAATACGGCTTATTAGAACAGTCCGATAATCATCACAGTAAATGAGTTCATTAGGACGACAGTTTGTCTCCCCAAGGTCCTGGCGGTAGGGAAAAACTCGCAGAGTAGCTTCATCGGGTCCTATATTGATAACCTCTGCAGGCTGGAGTTTGTTCGCGAACTGTGCCAGCACAGTATCACCAGCTTTAAATTTCTGAGTAGGCGTTTTAGGAAACCCACAACGACAGCTGAAATCACTTTCACGCAAGGTTCTAAACGTTTCATCTTTCGTTTCGTAGGTCTGTCGTACAAAAAGGGTCGAATTATCACGGTCTTCGTTGAAAGAGAAAAATTCAACAGGAACCTTTTTTACCACGTCCTGAACCAGTGTTTTTCCTTCATGACAATTGCAATGGTCACTCAAGAACAGTTCATTGCTGTAGGGGTATGTCATGTTGGCACATACGGTATCACTTGGACGATACAGCCAAATCAACCGAAGATCGCGACGCTTATTGGGATCAAACCCCTGAACAAGAGCATACCAGTACTCTTCCTTGCCTTTCCAGATGGATTCATCTTCCTTTCTTAACGCAACAACATCCCCAACGGAAATATCACCAGCAGCACTGGTTTTTCTTTTCGTCTCAAGAAGCGCACTCTGTCGCCTCACCATCTCCTTGTGTTGAGTTCTAACTTCGGGAGCCAATTCAACTTTCTGCAGATGGGAGGACCAAGGCATTTGCTTAAAACATTCGTATACAAAGGGGGTGACGACGGTGTTTTTCACTACCGTAGGTTGCGGTGTAATAATCGGGTTTTCTGAAAGTCCTAGTTCATCCCAGAGAGTATGGCGGCAGTAAGAGGAAAAATCAATGGTAAAAGCCTGTCCTCGCAGGAACCTGCCATGTGCATTCACAGCATGTCGAAAGTCGCGGGAGCCATATTCTGCTAACCAGGCAATAAAATCCGGATTCTCACCGTGGCAGCTAAGTAGCCAGTCGTGAAAATCCTCCTTGAAGTGGTTCAGGGCGACATCCCTCTCTTTATTCGCGTGGAGATAGTCGACAAAATGCTTAGCTAGATCAGCTAACCAGCTAAAGAAATGGTGATATGGTTTGTAAGCTACGGAAGGTTTCCCCAAGTGGTACCATATGTCCTTCTGCTGACAGTGTGTGGATTGTATCCAGATATTTTCTCCCACAGTGTGCTGGTCCGGGTCCTCATAGCCCCCTAGCGAAACTATACTGAACGCAATACGCTGGAGGTAGAAAGGGCCAACTTCAGGATCGACCTCTCCCTCGGGCCTGATTATACCGTCAAAGAAGAATATTGAGCCGCCCTCCTTGTTCGCAACATCATTAAGCGGCACCATACCAGTCCGTCTCCCGTTCCCACCTGTGCGATTGTATATCGTATAATCGTCTAGTACAAAGCTGACGAATCGAGAGCCGCCGTATTCTTCCTGGGTACAATTGTCCTGGAGAAACAGGGTATTCACAGCATTCCCTTCCTTGGATATAGGGTATGGAGGCCGATACCCTTCATATGCAGATGCCGGGCCAGGTAGCGGCGGGCAAACGACGCTCAGGAACTCATTATGCTGTTTTTTGTCCCCGGCTTCCTCCTTGTCCACAGATGATTCCTCGGTTGGTACATCGTTTCCGGAGAATATCGACGGGAGGTTCGGGGTTGATAACGAGCTCATACTTGCGTGTACCCGGGGGTCGAACAGTGGACAGATCCGAACGTAGCGCCAGCTACTTCATATTCGTCTCTATGTTTTTGGTCTCTGAATGTATTTGGCAATGTCTGTATGTAGGCATAGTTAGTACAATTCGAGTATATGGCTCAATTGCTTTTATGGAGAGAGAAGTATACTTATGCAGGGCGGATATAGTAAACGGTAAGGGAGTATGGAGTGGTATAACTGTTAATTGCACCTATTTCCACTTTGGGGTATGTTTGGTTGTGATGTCAAAGATGCAAAAAGGTCACTGAAAGAGGCATTGGTGATTATTAGTCGATCAATCGCAATGCAGTTCGTTTATAAAGAGGCCAACCAAGCCGTCTGCTGTAAATTCCGCCATTCCTCTGCCCGTAGGTCTATTATTTCTTCCTGTTCGGCACTTTTTCTCTTCGTCGCGTCGCGTCAATGGATGGTGGAAGGGAGACGGTCACGTGCTATCAGATTTGGCCGGGGCCGTTGGACACACTACGCAAATTGGAAGAATAAAACGGGACTGATAGAAAGACTTGCTACTTTCCAGCTAAATGGTTGCTAGTTGACTTCATAATATACTACGTTCACGTTCATAAGGCGATACTAGCATACAGCGCAAATAGGACAGACAAGACAAGCGTAGCTGCTTCTAGCATAGACAAAAGGGGGTAGTCGTAAGAGTAAATCTATCTGCATAATTGACAGGGGAGGTAGGCAGTGAGTAGGTAGGATGGGCCGGTAGATAGAACGGGACGAGAAAAAGGGCAAAAATGGATAAAAGACACAAGAAACGAGTAAACCACCTGGCTTGAAAGGCTTTTTTCCCCCTGAGAAGCAAAAAGAGAAAAGAAGCAAGAGGAAGAATTAATCTTACATACATGGGTTAGTCAAGTACCTAGTCAGTCAGTCAGTCAGTAGACGATGGGACGGACGAAAGGAAAAGGAAGATGTGAGAAAATATAGAGGAATAAATTTGAGAAATTCGTCAAATGATGTTGATTTGAGTCGTCAAGTAAAGGCCTGCCTCCTTTCCCCTAGTTTCCCTCAACCCATTGGGTATATCCAACACCATGAGAAATGCACCACGTTATTTCAAAAATCCCCCCAAGTATCACCACACCACACTTTCACCAGACCACATCACATCACATTCACAATTCACACTCTCGCCTAGCCTCGCCTCGCCTGACTCCGTCCTGAGGTATGCGCGGATGCAGAGAAAGACGAGGGGATGCAGTAAATGTTTGTTTCCTCGATTTTTTCCTGCCATTCCATGCCATACTATGTCGTGCCATGCTTGGGTGTGAGGATATGGAAACCTGAAACCATTCAACTCCATTTCCTGAGTTGTGGGGGATATCTCTCGCAATATCAAGTAAGGAGAAATGCGTTATGACGGGACGGAACATGTTAGTAAAAGATAGAAGTGGAGAAAAAGGGATGTGGAGGAAGAAAAATAAGGGGAAAAGGAGACGTGTAGATCAGATAGATAGATAAAGCGGTAGAAGGATGTACGGGAGGTCTCCGTTTGTCATGACCCAAACCCAAATGCAGGAATAAGAACAGGAAAAAGAATAGAGAAGATATAAAAATGGACGGTAAACAGAGAACAGTGCAGATGTAGACAAGAACAAGAACAGAACAAAAGCGAAAGCGCTGGGGATTTGCAAGTGGAAGCATGGCAAATAATCAGAATCGGGGTGGATGGGGGAATAGGGATATTTCAATGGGGACGGAAACTATATAGTAAGATATTCGAGGGGTAATGGGTAAAAAAAAAAAAAAACAAGAGTGAATGAAATCTTTCGTATTTTTCCAGTCATCACGATTCATTCAAAAACAAAATAACAACAAAAAAAAATGAAGATGTAAAAAGAAAAAGAAAAGATGTCAACCCAAGAACGGTTGCTTGTGTAGCCGCGTATTGCAGCTGAATTCGTGCGTGATATCATATATATTCATTTCGCGGGCCCACGTCCTGCGGCTGGTGCGCTGCACCATGAGAATTCGACGATTCTTTCTCCTTCCCCTTGCGTCTGGTCCGGTCGACAAATTCGAAGAGCCGGTATTTTCCTGAATCGCGGGACATGCCTGACTGACGATTCTTACCAGTCGGTGTCTCAGATTGCGTCAGGGAGACGGTGGAGGGGTTCTGGAGGCTCTCGGTACTCTTGCGCGAGTCAGCGTAGTATTTAGGTTGGGTGAACATTGGACGACCTGAATGTTCCCACGGAGCAGAAGTGGCGCTGGAAGGGGTATCATCGTCCGCGTCATCGCTGACACTGGCCTCGGTAGACTTGAGGTACGGTGTGCGTGGAAAGTAACCGATTGAATTCCGGTTGTTGCCTGCCGTTGTAGAACTGACGCTTGTCACAGCCGATTCTCTACCGGGCGTGTTGGCTTTGCTCGAGCTTTCTTCGTAAAAAGTAGCCGATTTCTCGACTTGCTCGGCAATTTCCTCCCACTTCACTTCGAGGTTACCACTGGGTTGCTCGGCTTGTTCAGCCTTGTTGAGTGACTCCTTCGTTCGCTTCTCTAGATCGATACAGAGCTGGTGGAATTTGAGAATGTTCACATCCATATCAGGGACTTCAGTGAGACCCCTTGGTGCAGCCTGTAGCCACACACGAGCCAAACAAGCAAAGCTTCTAGCATTGTCAATGAGGAATGGTAAGCTAGGGAATCCTTCCCGGGAGGTTGGCGGTAGACGACCGAGAATCTGGATGGGAGTTGCGAAAGATGGATTGACTATTTGAGGTGGGCGTTCGGCGGGGATGGCGCAAATGGCGTCGATGAAGTCCTTGAATTCGTTGCGGTGGGACATGAGGAACTTGTTCATGGGCTCCATGAATGGCTCCTTGTTGCCGAACGTAGTTAGATTCGCAAGCCCCTGGAGACCCTTTGCGACTAACGTCAGAGTTCGTTGGGCACGATTTCGCGGATGTTCTATCAACAACGTTGTTAACTACCGGATCTTAACCTGACATATGTGAATAAGGGTGAATGAACATACCTTTCAAGAGACCAAAGAGCTTCGGATTCAGAATGGCAGGACAGAAGAACCGTAGAAACAAGAATCCAGACACACTGCTGTACGTGACAGACCGTAGGAAATCCCCGTACCGGTCCTCAGCGCAAGCCCTGATGTGTCTGAAGATATACCTCAACTCTGGCGGACATCTCGCGGCGGAACCAGCAATCGACTGCCACATATTACTTGTGAGAATGATCAGATTGCGCCAATTCCGCTCGAGGTCTTCCTGTCTGCTGACGCGGTTTGGGTCGATTTCGCAGTCGGGATCACTTTCGTCGATGTCTCGTATGCTTGAGCCGATTGTTTCCTCGAGATACTCTTTGCCCAGACGACGCATGTGCATGTCCAGCGATTTTGTAAGTAGGGAGTTCCCGCGGAACAATAGGTTTGCTTCGACGGTTGCAGAGCGGCCTAGGTCTCGCACGAGGACTTCTCGTTCCTGACCGGACTCGTATGAGTCGTTTGAGTGGATGCGGCTGGTATAGCGGAGGCGGCTGGCGGAAGTCTCGCGGTGAAGGCCGTCGATTTCATCTTCGACGAGCGCAGTTACCCATTCACTTGCCTGACCAGACACTTGAAAGATGTCGAGGAATATCTCGGAGAGCTGGCGGAGCTCCTGGGGCGCAAGCTCGGCCAGGTGAACTGTGAGACCGTTAGGGAACGAATGGAGAAGCTCAGACATGACTTGATATTCTTGAGACATGAGGACAACGGTTTCATCGAGCTGAACGCGCATCAGCATTTCGCCGACTGGCTGGTCGTTCTCGTCGAGGATTTGCCACCACTTCTCGGATCCGTTGCCGGCATCGAGACTGTCCAGGGGCAAGTCTATTCTGCCGAATGTGGTATCTTGCGAGGCCACCTCCAGTTCACCTAGCGTCGCCAATGAGTCGTGCTCAGGGTCACCTTCGTTGGGCGTGTAGGTACCTCGAGAGACGAGGGTCCAGTCTTTCTGCACGGGGTTGAGGCATTTCACTAAAACAGTAGCACTAGACAGGACAGGGGGTAGGTCATGGAAGGTGAAATCTTCTCGCCAGAACGGAGCAGAGGTACTGCTCTTCACGGCGGTCTTGCCTCTGACTTCACCGTCCAGCAGGATTTCGGCGTAGTAGTCGCCGGAGGTCTGAGAGCCTTGCTGTTTGGACGACTTCTTGTTCTTTTCCGGTAGTTCAGCCTTTGACTGGGGGAATATCTTTGCTTCAATGACACGGACGTTGAGAAGGCGTTCGATTCGGAACATGTCTGTTGTGGTGGTGGGGACTTGCTGGGAGATGGCCAAGGGGTGGGGTCGGCCGGAATCGTCTGTCGAGGCGGTAGTGGTAGGAGGTTGTTCGGGTCCGTAGAGTTCAGGGATAGTAAAGGCTCGGAGTAGGACGAACCATACCTCGAAGAGGACACGGCTTTCCATGGAGAGGTAGACGGGTCTAGTGAGGTGGTCACTTCCGGCATGAACGGCATACTGAGGATATATGGCTATGCAAAACTCGTCTTGCAGGACGGAGGCGTCTAGCTTTTGGATGGCACATCGGGAGAGTTGGGAGAGTTGTATGAAAGATACAAGATTTGTGCCGGCCTCAGTTACGATCTTCATGTGGCCGTTCTCTTGCAGTGTGCAGTTGACTTTCCTCCAATAATGCGACAGAGCCCGTTGTTGCTTGAAGGTTGATATCCTCCGGGGCGTTGGCGGCGGACATACACCGGAAGCACTTTGTCTATCCCACAGCAGCATCTTGCCTACTTTGATAATGGTGGCTTCCTTTTGTAGCGTACTCTCTGAGTTTCTCCGGCGATCTGCGAGACGCCGTTCAGTTATGGCGACTGACTGGGGCTTAGTCATTTTGTTCTGTACGCCCTTTGGGCGAATGGGTTGCCAGCACAGGAGGGCGGCAAGCCAGGAGTCACAGGTCTCTTTGACATGAGGACGGAGATGTACGCTGAGGGTGGAGGAGTAGGTTGAGACGCTCAGGTACGGGCTTTGGAGTTCGGTAGAGTAGAGGGTGCGGACACGGCAGCCGCGAAGGTCCGGGATGAGGGTTTTTGCCTGGTTTGCTTCACCCTTTGCCTGGTAGATGAGGCTGCCTGCGGCAACGTTGATGGCACAGTAGCCCGAAGTCCAGGACGAGGATCCAGAGATGCGGAAGGAGAGGATGCCATGCATTCTGCCACAGGTGGACTTCATCAGGTCCAGGATCTTGGTAGAGTCCGGGTTCAGCACTTGAGATACATATGGTCCCGGACTGGAAGCGTTTGAAGGAGGAAGGCCGGAGGAGAGAGTTGAGTGCGACTTGACGAAACGAGGCCGCGGTCCGGGAGACTGAATGATGGAGGGAAAACCGATGGAGGCGGCAATGGGATCGTCCTGGAGTGGCGGTCGGGGACTCTGGGGTGAGCCTGCAGCCATGTTGGCCGAAGCAGTGGTGGTTAGAGAGCCGAGTCTCATCCGGGTGCGTCCCAAGAAGGTGTTGGGTGGCAGGTCGCCTCTCTGGTCCTCCATGGTGGTCGTCTTTGACCTGGCTCTCAAGCTTCGAGGGTCTGGCAGCGGTAGGTCGTCATCATTGAGCCTGTTGGCGGCGTTGCTGCTGCTATTACTGCTGGTGTTGTTGTTATTATTGTTGTTTTTGTAGTTGTTGATGTTGCTGCTGCTGTTGTTGTGGTGATGGGAGTGGTGGTTGATGTTGGTGGTGCTGGCACTGGCACTGGCACTGTTGCTGTTGCTGCTGCCATGTCCAGTATGAAAAGGACTGAACTCACGCCGCCGGTCACGCGGTTTTGCGCGAATACCGGATCGGGGCGAGGCTGTTGCGCTGGCCGCGAAGTGCTCGGCATCTGAAGCTGGCGAGTGATTCTGCGTATCGGAGAGCGACTCCTGGGGGCTGACAGGCCGGATGGAGGTGTCCCTGAAGCTGTCTGGGTAAACCATCCCGTGGCGGTCCTTGGAAGAAGATTTTTTGCTGGGTCGGCGTTCAATGGGTCTCGAATATACGTCCAGGTCGTCCCTCTGAAAGCCGTTCTGGCGCTCAGAGTCCATAATCCCTATTCGGTTATCTGAAAGCCGGCTCTACCGCCACTATCCGCATATCAAGGACGAGAGGATGTTGGCTATTCATCAGTGACAGGCCGGGCCACTCTGGTAAGGGTGGGATGGGAGTACGGATTGGGGACAACAGCGAGAATGAGTTGGTATTGCTGGGTAAGATCGAGGTTTTAGCGGCGTCGCAAAAAGAGCCCTTTTTTTTTTTCTTCTGATGCCAAAGAAGGACGAGTATCAGGCCGCTTCGTAGCGTGAAAAGAAGGAAGACGAAGAGTATTTATTTGCAGTACGGAGTAGTAGCGGAGTAATAAGTAGTACTGGAGGGGGAGAGAATCGAGAGAAAGGAAGAAGCCTGAGAGGGAGAAGACAAGCAAGAGAGCGCCGTCCCTTTAGGGTCAGTCCGACGAAACAGCGAGGGAGGGAAAAATAGAGCGTTCCCACCGCCCAAAGAAAAAAAAAACGAAGAAAAAAAAAAAAGACGAAACGACCGGCCTAGTTAACCCACGACGGATTATCCACCGGAGAAAATGAGATGGAAAGAGGTCGACAAGCAGACAGAGAGAGAGACATACCTTTGACAACCTAAGAGAGAGAAAGAGAGAGCAAGGTCGGCTCGTCCTACATGTCCCGTTCTGCGAGGGAGGGTCAAAGAGGGCGTCGACGATGGGAGAGGGAGAGGAAGAGGCGAAAAGGACAAGCAGGCACCGCCGCACCGCAGCGAAGGGGGGGGAAGCGCGGGAAAAGGGCTAGTAGTTGATGGTCAACACGACGACCTGCTAGCAGCAACGAGGACGCCCAGCAGGAACGACAAAGAGAGGAGAGACTGACGACGGCGATGAAGAGAGAAGAGAGAGACGCAGAGGGAAAGACGCAGGAAAAAGAAAAAGGGCGAGGAAAAGAAACGAGAGAGAGGAAAAAGAAAGGAAAGGAAGCGAAGGCGAAGAAGAAACCTCAGCGGGAGCAGCAGCAAGACGAGAGAGTCAAGGCCGCAAGTGATCTCCTGTCTGTCTGTCTCTGTCTCTGTCTGTGTCTCTCTGGAGATCTTCTTTTCTGCTGCGTCTGC